GTAGCCCAGGCTGGCCTTGAACTCACAGAGATCCGCCTGGCTCTGCCTCCCGAGTGCTGGGATTAAAGGCGTGCGCCACCACCGCCCGGCTTAGTGTGAATATTCTTGAACGCAGGAAATGTGTGTGAGGTGGCTAGGGGTGTATTTTGATTGAGACAGGGCCTTATATGTCTGATGCTTGCCTTGAACTTGCTAAGAAGCCAAAAATGAGTAGACTAGAAATATAAGAGGGGCCACTACACCCAGTTTTAAATGGTGTTTAGTATCAAAGCCAGAATTTCATTCTTTCAAGTTAATTATATTACACCTCCAGCCCAGAGCTAACAATTCACTCTCAAAAAACAAAAACAAACAAACAAAAAACAAAACTTAAAAAAAAAAAACCCAAAAAACAAAAAAAAAAAAAACAAAAAAACCACCCACTTCTAGTATGAAAAATACTCATTACATTTGGTTCAAAGCAAATGTTGCCGTTTGGGCCACCCATGACATGAAACTATTTTAAAAAACTGAACCTGTATCGCAAACTCCTCCGTCTCGCAGACAACATCAAGAGCATCTGTACCACCTCTCTTTCTTTGTTTTATTTTAATTTCCCTCAAAGTCTTGGCTCTCCTGTCTGTGTATAGATTCAAGAGATTCACCTGTCTCTCCCCCCCCTCCGGGGCTGGGATTCCAGGCCTGTCCCACCACATGTAACATGCTTGTTACAGTGAGACAGAGTCCTTCCATGAAATCTGGGTGGACAGTTACTAGTCAGGATACAAGTTAAACTTTCATGTCTCACATATTGAGCAAAATTCTCAAAAAGGAATGAGCAATCATCATTTTTATACCAGCAGGGATGGGTGTTTTATAAGTGCAGAATCTTTTTAATTCAGGAAAAAAAAAAAAAAACCTCTGGCAGTAGCAGCAAAAGTCCTGACTCAGCATTCAGGAAACAGAGGCTGTGGGTCTTCCTAAGGTCGAGGAAAAGCTTTCCTTTTCCCTTTAGTTTTATGTATACGAATGTTTTCCCTATGTACATATATATGTCTGTATGTATACCATTTGCTTGACTATTGCCCCTGGAGGTCAGAAGAGGGCATTGGATTTCCTGTAAATAGTTATGGGTGCTGGGATCCGAACCTGGGTTGTCTGCAAAAACAAGTGCTCTTAACTCTGAAACATTTCTTCTAGCTCCTACAGCTTTTAAAAAATGTATGTCTGTGTGGGTAAGTGCGTGTAACTGCGGTCACCAGTAGAGGATGTAGGTAGGTAGGTAGGATCTCCTAAAGGTGGAGTTACAGATGTTGTGTGATCCACCGGACATGTTGCTGGGAACGGAACTTGTGTCCTTTCCAATTGCTTTAAAGTGCTGAGTCATTTCTCTAGCATTATTTTTGTTCTTTTAAGACAAGTTCTTGCTGGAAAGCCCAGGCTAGGGAGCTGGAGAGATGGCTCAGCGGTTAAGAGCACTGGCTGTTCTTCCAGAGGTCCTGAGTTCAATTCCCGCAACCACATGGTGGCTCACAACCATCTATAATAGGATCTGATGCTCTCTGCCCAGAAGCAGAGCATTCATTCATAAAAAAAAAAATTTAAAAAGCCCAGGATAGACTCAAAACCCTGTCTCACCCAGCTTTCCAAAGGTTGCAGCTAAGGGTTCCAGCACATCCCCTCAAAATAGAAACATCAGTGCTTCCAGAAAAAAAGATTAATGAATTATTTTAATTAAAAAGAAATTTTATTATTTGGAGGTCAGAGACCTCAACCTCCATCATGGCTTCTGGGCACAAAATTTAGGGGCCAGGCTTGTGCAAGTGCTTTACACCTCAATAACTAACAAAACCTTTCAGGAACCAAGATCATGATGTTCAAGATCCCATCTCAACAGCCAGATTATAGTTTGTGGGTACACCTTTCCTACTGCCAAGCACAGGCAGAAGCTGTGGGTATTTTCAAGTATTATTTCAACTGTACATGCTTTTACATCCTCTGCATGCCTATTTGATTTCACAAGAAAAAAATTAAATGAAACACTTGCAGCTTGAAATTTGTCTGAATAGAGGTAGGACAACAGGCAAAGATAACTAAGCATTGAGGAAATTCACTCTTAGTCAGGAAAATGAACTACTTGAGAGGACCCATTTTTTTTAAACAGGATAAATAAAAGTTCAATAGGGAAACAGGAACAGAAGGACTCAGTGTGGCTAGCTTGGCTAGACGAAAAAGAGCCAAAGCTGCCCCTCCCCCCCAAAAAAAAGATGACTTGGAAAGAAAGCATCCCCACAAATGAACACTCACCATTACAGTAACAGGTTGGCTCTTCTGCGTCACTCACTCCGGCTAGCAACACCTTGAGAGGCTCGCTAAGCAAGGTCCTGATTCTCTTATTCAATTCTTCCTGTGCCCTGGGGGTGGCGGAGTCACCCAGTGGTCCGTCACTTGATGCCTCTGCTTCGCGCTTCACGGTCCCATCTGAAATGTGATTGAAATTCAACCAAGTCCCTCCCGCGGAGCTGGTTGTCGGGTTTAGCAGAGGAGTGGTACCAGGCAACGTTGGTGGTATCTGGTGCACCAGGTTCTCTTGAGTGCCTAGACGAGACTGCGTCTCAGTAGCACCAGGCGTCATGTTAGCACACTGGATAGATGGGGAGGAGGGCTGGGGCAGAGGGTGAGCGTTCTCATGGACATTCACCGTGGGCTGGACCTGAGAATTATCTGCCGGCTCTGCAATTGCCTGCCCGCTGGATTCTGTCTTGAACTGGCATGTTGGTAGAGAATCTGGTGGCTCGACTTTCACTTTCTCCTTTGCCAATTCAGAGTGTCTTGTGAATGTTATCTGACTGAGAGGAGGAAATAAAGTATTGTGTTGTAAGGATACGCTGTAAGGAGCCGTCGGTGTTGATATTTGATCAATGGTAGGAATAGCTCCCAACAGGAGAGGAACATCATGTGGACCAGACTGGCCAAATCTTTGAAATTTAGACGACATCCAAATGTCACACATTTTACTATACTGAGTTGCAAGTTGCTCCTGCTTCTTCTGGTCATTTTCTTGAGAGCTGGGGACTGGGGGCTCCTTTTTCCGCTTGTCTGCTTTGGGGGTCGGCTTTGCTTTTTTCCGGGTCTTCTTCTTTGGCTTTGCTGGTGGTACGCTAGGTTTATTTTGTATACTTGAAGGTGGTTTCTTTTGTACCGTGCCTTTCTCCTGACTCTGCTTTTGATGTACATTCTTTGCGGCAAGGCTCCCTGGTGTACTTCCAGCTTTCTCGACTACGGGGCTCAGGTGATTGCAATTAATTGCGGACGCGAGCTGGGTTAATTGTGCTGCGACATCTTCTTCGATTTGACTGTACGGTGCGTCCTGGCACGGTGGATCATGCTGGGACTTCAACTTTTGATCGCTGTTTAGTGCCTGACTGCAGTTTTCTGGATTATGACTTTCTACTGGCAATGGGTATGAATTCTTAGAACTCTCAAAGTTAAGCTTGCCTCCAGCGATGCACTTCCTATCAGCTGTCAGTGAATTTGACTGTTCATGTGCCTTTATAAGTGCTTGGATAGTAGCTGAACTATCAGGCAACTTGAACGCTGTGTTCTGGCCATTGAAGATGACAGTGCCCTGGTGCTGAAAACACTTCCCCTGTAAGTTTGGGTCTTGGAGGTCTTTTCTCACAGAATGGAGGATGGCCTTGCAACTGTTAAGCAGACTAGCCGTTCTCTGATCAGTTTCTTCATCCTTCTCTGACTTCGATGGTGAGGAATTCTCGGATGGAGCTTCTGAGAGCTGAGTAAGGGCTTCTATGGCCACGACTTGTTCCAGTGTTAACCTCCTGTCTTTCATGAGCGATAGAAGACTTGGCTGAACTGGAGAGTTATCTTTTGGTTCTTTACTAGGTAACTTCTCGGGGGTTTGGAGTTGACTACCAGCACTGTGTGTATTAGGGTGGTTATTAAAGATGGCGGAGTCTGCACCAGATCTGCAGGTCAAGCCGGGCTTCTGGAAGAGCAAGATGTTACTCGTCCCCTTGAGATGATCACAGCTCCCAGCGGAAGTGATGGCGGCGTTCATGGCATCGTTGCAGTTTGGGGGGTCAGTCAGCAATTTAGAGGAATCATTTCCCAATACCTTGCTAATTTCTTCAAGATCCAATTGATTGGCTGGCAGGTTGGTGTCGGTAGGTAAACAGTGCACATTTTTCATGCCGTTTCTTATGGTCGGAGCAAACATTGGGGACGGCTGGGTTTGCTGCTTGACATCTTCGGGGGGTGGGGAATTTTCAACCTCAGTGAAATTTGCATCGAAGCCTCCCTTGACTTGACCTGCTAGGTGTGATTTCTGGCTTGGCGTCCATTTCTCCACCTCGACGCCGGTCATGTTTTCTGCATTTTTCCCTACATTTTCAAGGGGATGGGTGATCAAATCCAATTTCTGCTCTCCTTCCCCATGACCACATTGACTGTATTCCATGGACTCTGATTGGGGGCCATTTACTGGTTTGATGTTAAAGGCAGCCTGTAAAGCAAGCACAGAAATTCCTCCCGTTACCTGCTGAAATAAGACAACGGCTTCACTCTTTTGTTCATAGACTCTTGCTAGGTATCCAAGCGGGCTTGGAATTTGTGGCAATGCCCCTGACTCAGTTTCGGTTACTGGGATTACAGGTAAGGGCAGCTGTGCCTAGCTGGGATTCCACAGTGTAATGACCCTGAAAGTGAGGTGAGAGATATGACTTCAATAACATACGTGCAGTCTGGGACCTAATCCCTCCATCCTTCCTCCACTCCCCACATCCCTGCTTCCATTGAAACCATGCAAAGCAGTTCACTCCTATAACTCCAGGGAGGCAGAGGCACATAAACCTCTGTGGTTGGTTTATATAGCATGTGACTTGTAGGTCAGCCGGGGCTACATAGGGAGACTCAATCAATCAACCAAAAGCAATATGTTTCTTTAGTGGACAACACTTGCAAAGGATGTGTGGGGCTGAGTTCAATACGCAGCATCACAAAGGACGGGAGGCGTGTGGTGCACAGCATGTTGAGTTTTCCCTATAACCACATCACAAGCATGAACTTGTCATCAGTCAGCCTGCAAGCCATCATTCTGAAGATTAGCATCAAGTCTTTTTTTAAATAAAGATTTATTTATTATGTATACAGTGTTCTGCCTGCATATATGCCTGTACGCCAGAAGAGGGCACCAGATCTCATTACAGATGGTTGTGAGCCACCATGTGGTTGCTGGGAATTGAACTCAGGGCCTCTGGAAGAACAGCTTGTGTTCTTAACCTCTGAGCCATCTCTCCAGCCCTACCATCAAGTCTGATGTGACTGCCTTTCACTGACAATGATGCTTGTGCCTTACGTTCATTTGGTTAAGGGTAAGCATAGTTCACTGATTTCATTACTGTGCAGTAATTCATAAACTGTATAGTCTACTTCGTACCTGCATTACTAGATGGAATATTGTAAATATATAGCTATGAATCTCATGTTCTTGTTTGTTAAGAGCATGTACATACAGGAAAGTTCTGAGTCATGCAGTGTGTGCTGCGTGCATATTCAGCTTTAGTAGTTTTAGGAAATGTTCCCACCAGTAATTATGTCCCAATTATGGTACATCATAATTAGCAATTTATATACTATATTTATGCATATATATGAATTAAGTCTTTCAAAAATAAATAATTTGCTTATTTCATATATACGTATTTTATGTCTGTGTGTGCCTGGATGTATGTATGCCAACCACATGTGTGCAGGAGCCTGTCCTGGCCAGCAGAGGGTGTCAGAACACCTTGAAATGGAATTACAGGGTACTGTAGGCTACCATGTGGGTGCTCAGAGATGAAACTGGACCCATTGAGCCAGCCCAACTTGTTCATCTCTTGATCACAGTATAAGTTATATAGATGCTCGATTTTTGTCAAAATCTGCTTAAAAAAATGGTACTGTCATGGGTAAAAGGTGCACACACACACACACACGGGGGGGGGGGGGGGGGGGGGGGGGGGAATCCGTCAAGGCCTCATACTATAGCTTTGTGGCATTGAAAATCCCAGGCAAATTTGAGGGCCTACAGACCAGTACTTCGTGCATGCTAGACAAGGGCTCTGCTACTGAGCCAGACCTCCATCCAACCATTATTCTTATTCTCCCCCCTCCACCCCAGATGTGGTCTATAACCATCTCTAACTCTAATTCCAAGGGATCTAACTCCGTCATCTGATGCTCCCAACACCAGGTAAGCATGCAGTGCACTTAAATACATGCAAGCAAAGTTCTTACACCTCAAAGAGATAAAAATTAACAAATCTTTTAAGAAAAGAATTGACATTTAAGACAATGGTAGTTCTCCATCAGGGACTGAGAATATCGTTCATTTGTGCTCCTGCCCCTGGTTTCATCCACAGCAGAGAGACTGATAAATCGTTTCTAAAGCAAAGCTTTGAAGGCAGCGCTTTTGTCCATAAAGAAAACAAAGCATTGCCAGGTTGTGGTGGTGGTGGTGGTGGTGGTGGTGGTGGTGGTGGTGACGGCGGCGGCGGCAGCGGCGGCGGCGGCGGCGGCGGCGCACACCTTCAATCCCAGCACTCGGGAGGCAGAGGCAGGTGGATCTCTATGAGTTCGAGGACAGCCTGGGCTACAAAGCGAGTTCCAGGAAAGGCGCAAAGCTACACAGAGAAACCCTGTCTTGAAGAATAAAATAAAATAAAGCATTATACTTTTCCCCTTTGAAAGGTGAAAAGGTAACACCCTACAAGGCATTCCTTTCAGGTATCTGCTTAGCCTGTAACCCCAGTTGGGGAATAGAAAATCCACACAAGGTGCTTGAGGGATGGCTCAGTGGTTAGCAGTGTACTTATCTTGCAGGACTCATGTCCGGTTTCCCAGCTCACAACTGCCTATAAATCCAGCTCCAGGGGGAATCATACAAAACCTCTGGCACTCACATGCACATACCCACACACAGACACCAACACACACACACACACACACACACACACACACACACAAAACCCTACATGCTGGATGGTAGTAGTGCACGACTTTAATCACTCAGGAGGCAGAGTTCAAGGCTAGCCTGATCTACAGAGTAAGTTCCAGGACAACCAGGGCTACACAGAAACCCTGTGTGTGTGTGTGGTGGGGGGGACAGAAAATCAGCTCTCTAACCCAGGGCTCGAGTGCCCTCCGCGCACAAACCCTACTGTTCTTCAGTAGCCTGGTGGCTCATCAGGCCTGGCGACCACCAGACCCGGTGGCTCCTGCACATTTGGGCCTGAAATGAGTCACCGTGGTGATCTCAGGACTACAGACGCCTCTTTTCTATTCCAGTGTTTAGTTCTTACCTCGGCAAAGCCAATCCACTTTTAGCTTGGTGGGGAGAGGTGGTGTTTACAGTGAGAAGAAACAAGAGCAAACCTGGGAAGTAGGGTTAAAATCCCTCTAAGGTGTATTATTGGAGGATTGCCTCAGGAATACAGAAATGAAGTAACCATCTCCAGACACAGGTGCCTTCTCGGGATACGCCATGACAAAAGCGACTCCTCAGCCCTCAGACCTGTCCTCAGTCATCCTGCTGATCCTCCCTCCATGCCAATCCCTTTAAAGCAAGCATAGTGGCTGGCCTCAGTAACCCTAGCACTCTGGAGGCAGAGGCAGGAGGATCATCCCTGAAAGTTGAAGCTAGCCAGGGCTCCATACAGTTTCAAATGTTTTTTTTTTTTTTTTTTTTAATTGTTTTTCAAGACAATGTTTCTCTGTGTAGCTTTGCGCCTTTCCTGGAACTCACTCTGTTGTCCAGGCTGGCCTCGAACTTTTAACGGTGGTGGTGGTGGGGAATGGGGATGGGGGTGGTGCACACCTTTAATCCCAGCACTCGGGAGGCAGAGACAGGTGGATCTCTGTGAGTTCGAGGCCAGCCTGGGCTACAGAGTTCCAGAACAGGCTCCAAAGCTACACAGAGAAAAAAAAAAAAAAAAGAATAATAGTGCTTCATCTCCCAGCTGACACCAATGTAAACTTTTGGCCACTATGAAATCAGTATGGAGAAAATGGAAGCGCCACACACACTGCTTATATAACCCATGCATTCCAAAGGATCTAGTGCAGTCAACTTGGCTGGCCAGAGAAAGCTGCTTGCTGAGCAAGCCTGGCTTTTCCAAGACACTAACGCATAGATGCAATAAAAAGAAGGAAGGGAGAAAGGAAAGCAAAATCACCAGAGATGCCCACACACGTCATCCACGTTTATTGTGGATCTTGTCACAGTAGCCAAGTTCTAAGATACCAGCCTTAGATCAAGAAGATCAACACAGGAGTTTTATTTAGCCCTAAGAAGATTGACTACTATCAATATTTACTAAGTGAGTCTATCATGGATGCCTGGAAATTAACTACTGCAATACTCTAATGGGAGGGTTCAAACTGTATTAATGTTTTTGAGGCATGGTCCTTCTCTAGGCCAAGGTATCCTCAATCTCTTGGTAATCTGACTGCCTTCATTGTCTTTCCAATTGCCGGGCTTACAGGCATGTAACAGCGCACTGATCTTGAAAACAGCACATTTATTATATTACACGCCAAACAAAAGCCAGAAAACATAACCACCATGAGGCAAGTCCCAATCATACTTACACCAGGGTACACACACCAACAATGGGAGCCTGAGCTACACTGAGTTTAAAGAGAACCAGGGATACGTAAGTCAACTTTACTAGTTCAACAAATCAGTTTACATTTAGATCCTGAAGACCCAGACTGCACCACCTCATCCCTACCCTAAGATTTCATTATGTACCCCAGTGCTGACACTAGAGTTGGGCCAGGTGACCAGCCTGTTCCTTTCGTTTTGCTTCCCAGAGCTGGGATGAACCTTGGGTTTCCACCATCTAGATAGAAACAAGCTCCAAATCTTTTTTTTTTTTTTTTTTTTTTTTTTTTGGTTTTTCGAGACAGGGTTTCTCTGTGTAGCTTTGCGCCTTTTCCTGGAACTCACTCTGTAGCCCAGGCTGGCCTCGAACTCACAGAAATCCACCTGGCTCCCTCCCGAGTGCTGGGATTAAAGGCGTGCGCCACCACCGCCCGGCACCAAATCTTAATCTCCTTTGAAATATGTCTTAAACGCTCCTCAAGAATTTGTGATTTCGTCCTCTGACAAGTCTTGTTTGCCCCAGAGTTTCTCACCTCCTCTGTGTCATTGAGGACATACTATCCCTGGTGTTTTCCAACAACAGTACCCTTGAAATTCCATCCTGAAGGTAGCCAAATAACTAATGCAGAGCCCTACAAGGAACCTGAAGGTTGGGTCTTCCCGTGTACAGTATCCAGTCCCTATAGCCAGTTCCTCATTATTACTGCTTTCTAAGAAGAACAGAAGCTCCTCAAAGGTGACTCCACCATGAGAGTGTTGATAAATTCCCAACAGGAAAACAAGTACCTTCGGAAGCCACAAGTTTTCCTGTCTCCCTTCCCACAGGCTATCGGAGCAAGTCATTTTAAGAATTTTGA